TTGCGAGAGCTTGTTGCGGAGGGCTCCGGCACGCCGCAAGGATAGCTTTCTTGCGGAATTTTCTGCAGCGCCGGAGTGTCTCGGTAACCGCAGCCGGACAGCTCAGCAGCCGGTGAGAGAGGTTTACGTCTTTTTAATGACTTGGAATCACTGCGGCGCGGCACCCACCGCACCGCAACGGTAAGACCGGAGTCAGTGTGAGCCGGGGGTAAGTCATGTCCTTTCATTTAAAAATATTCTAAATAAGGACAACCTGAAATAACATTAAGGGGTGGGGGGGTGGGGTTGGAGATGAGATGAGATCAAACTGACAGACAGGAGTTTATAAAGAGGGAATAACGGAGAAAGGGAGGGCACTGGACGGAAACTAGGAAGAATGGAATAAAAGAAGGGAAACTTAGGAAGGAAAGACAAAAAGTAGCAAGTACGGACTTTAAAAATACAAGATAGGAAGCAAGGATGGAAAGAAACAAAGAAGGATACAAGAAATCATGAAATGAAGGTCGGTAGGAAACACAAAGAAGTTCACAATGAAGGGAGGAAGGGAGGTCTTAGAGAGACAATAAGGTAGGATAAGAAGGAGAGAAAAAGGATTCTAGGCAACAGGATACAGAGAATAAGTTTAACAATAATGAATCAATTTGACTTTATGATCTGGCAAAATGTAAAGTGCCTTGAGATGATGTGCTGTAATTGGCGCTATATAAATAAACTGAATTGAATTGAAAATAATCTGAAATTACCAAGTATTTTTCCAGCGTTAATAATCTATTTTAGCTCTGTTTCCTTCCTCAGAGCAGGCTGTGTATTACCTCTTTTTAATAGGCGAGGCTTAACTGGTTTGGGTTAAAAAAGTGAGGGGAATGGAAAGGGGAATGTTTCAGCCTTCTGTCAAGTGACAATGAAACCGAGGCTCCAGCTCATCATAAACATTTAGTCAGCTTCTGAAAACAGACTAGCTTAGCTAACATGCTAAAGCACTCTGTTCTCATATGGGGTTCACTGTGCACGAGTCAAACAAGCTGCATGAACGTGCAGCGTGCCGACGCTCACCATACTCATGCATGAGTCAGTCAGAGCAGATGCTGTCCTGCCGTCTGCAGGGAGCCCTAATTAGGCGTGTTTACAGTCACAGACGGAAAACAGAGCGCAGACAGGCCTGCTGTCGGCCCGAGTATGACTGATTGTCAGTGGAGCAAACGAAGGTAAACAACTACAAATCAGCCAGCTAACAGTCCAACCGCACTGCTGCACACAAACTGTCTGACATGTTTCTATCAAAGCAGATCCATGGCAGATTAAAAGCATCTCTAAAACAGTTAGAAAACCAAACCAATTGAGACCGTTTAACCTATAAACTGCAACATTCAACAGGTATGAATACTTTTCAAACAAACTGTACATTGAATAATCAGACATAGAAGTCACCAATCATTCAGAGTTATAAAGCTTTGAATTCCAGATCAAATAGAAGATGAGGTCTATATCTCCCGGTATAAAAAGAAGCTCCAGCTATAAATCCTTCAGCTTTAATGGGAAGCCATGAGCGATAGCGTGTGAGAAACTGGGAGCTGCCTGTTGAAGCCAGGCAGCGACAGCAGGGCTGCTGCTTTCAGCTAAAAATGGGATCTTCCTGTTTTTCCTGTACAGCTGATAAAGACACATTATGAGGTCTATTATGAGCGCTTCTCTCCTAAACACAAAGTTTCACCTTCCTCCAGCCTGACAAACATTGAACGTCTTCAACATTACTATCACATTAACTATTAAAGCCTTGTTTTCTATTCAGTCTCCAGTGTCTTCTCCTCTCTTTGCAGCACTTTCCTTTCTGAAATCTCCCCCTCACGCTGCTTTCTTTCTCCTGGCAGGTCTCACCACCATATCAGAGCTTTTTTTCAGTGAAATATTTTTTTTTCCTGGTTTCCTCAGTCTCCCTGCCTTTTCCGATTTTAACTGGGGCTTTACTTTATTGAAGCTTTCCTCCCGTTATGGACCACATAAACCATCTCGTTTCCTGCTCTTTGACTTGTCATGTCCCAGTTTTTGGATCTCTCTAACTCCTCTTCCTCAGTGTCGTTCTTTAAAGCTTCCCGTCTTCTAGAAGCCTTTGTTTTCTTTCTGCAGCCCTTCTCACTGAAAGGGGGTCGCCATCTCACCTTCCCCTCTGTTGTGCTAGTTGGTCTTTACGCCGGACGTGCAAAATGTTTTCGATATCTGGGCAAATTTCAAGGTGAGCAAAAGCAGACGAGAGGCGGGGGATTGTGGCGAACAGCAGTAGAGCGGAGAGGTAGGACCACAAAAGGCCATGAGGAGAACCGAGGGACATCAGAGATGCTCGCCAGGGAAACAGAGAAAGAGGCAGTTAGAGGTTAACTGCTGGAGGTGGAAGGAGCGCCGCTGAGGATCAGCGGGAGCCTGCGGGCAGAAAGAATGGTGGAGCGCAGGCTGGTGTCTACGCTGGACATAAGACCAACAGTCCTTCTAGGGCTAAATTAAAATAGCTTTTTTGCTGTAGTTAACTATACACAATATTTACAGAACGTATGGCTAGTACACACTTTACATAAAAAATAATGGTCTAATAATTCACCTTTGTAAAGAACATTTAACTATTCGGGGTGTTGATGAGCTGTTTAGTGCATTCCGTACTCAGGAATGGTGTTCTGCATCTATGCGTGATAGCAACCAAAAATATCATAATTGATATCAAGCCCTGATGCAGCGCTGGGATGTTTTAAAATTGCTGACACAGTCTAACAAAATAAAGGCATAATTTTTCTAACTCGAAAACCTTGGATTCTTACTGTTCAGGTACGTTACCGGCTGTTTGTCAAAGCAGGGGGCTCGGTGACGGTATGGACACTGCTACACATCAGCTAGAGACGGCGAACGGTTCACACAAACTCAGGTCCAAAACATGAACTATACCTTCAAGGCAAGTACTTAGAGCTAAGATCAAAAGTTTGCTTAGACTTATGTTAAATGAACATTGAACAAATTAATCAGAAAAAGGCTAACTTAACTCAAGAAAAAAATCAAATAAGAGTTCCTTTGAATGGTATAATGTTACACCCCCTACTAATAAAAGTAAGACAGATCTATATGAGATTTTAATAGAACTGTTTTTTCAGTCCTTATAGAAGGTTTTAATCAACGACCAGATCAAGGGTGAATTTACACCAGAGAGGTCCTTTGATCCCGTTTTTCATTTGGTCTCGTTTTTATTCAAACTGTACTTTTTGCATATGGACTCAGGTGGGATCACTGACTACAGCCGGACAGAGCTGAGACCAGGAAACAAAGGAAAACTACTGGTGTCCTGGAATTCTGCATGCACCTCCACTCTTTTGCATATTTATGCTGTTATTTATGCAAAACCAATGTGTCCTAGAACAGCTCATTCTGTATAAATACAGAGACTTGTTAATTTAAAAGAGTCTCTCCAGGGTTCCTACAGCGTAAGGCAAGTTAAATTCAAGACTTTTTAAGACTTTTTAATGCCACTTGAAATAAAAATTTAAGACCAAACTCACAAGAAACACAAGAAAAACTTGCTTGCGACAACTTAACCCAAAGGTTTATTTTAACATAAACCACTGCACTAATGTTTCAAATTTTGAAAAGCTTCCCATACAGAAAGAAAGCTAAAAACACACAAATGACAGATATATTTAACAATTATTTAACTGAATTCATTGTTTTAGAAGGTAACAAAACAAATCAGTTTTAAAGCCACAACAGAACCAGTGCTAAGTCTTTTTTGCAGCTATTTTTCTTTGTATCGTTTTCTTAGTATGTTTGATTTGGTGATAAGTGGAGGCGTTGCAGAGACAAGGGTGGAACTAAACTGAGAAATACCAGCTGTTTCTCGGTAATGCGATTTTGACGCTTTGTGTTTCGTGCTTCGCATGTGCGACTCCACTGCCTTAATTTCCATCGTTCTGAGCTTGAATCGCTTCTTGCACAAAATCCACTGTGCCTCGTGTATGTTCCCTGGTTTTAGCCATGGAGAACACTCTTGGCTGGTTGGTAACATTTACACCTCCTCATATTTTCCAGACAAAAAGTTAATGCCGCATCTCCCAAATGTCCCGGCCGCAGCAACGCTTTAATTGGTTCTGCTATCGGGACCGACCAATAATGGCGAGCCGTTATTTTTTTTAAATAAAAAAAAAAAGTAAATTTTAATGTTTTATTCAGATTACAAAAAAAAATCGTAATAAAAATGATCCTATTTATGATGTTTTAAAAATTAAGACTGACGAAAGACTGATTTAAGACATTTTAATACCAATTAAGGCCTTAGTTTTATTTTGAAGAATTCAATGCCTTTTAAGACTTTTAAAGGACCCGCGGGAACCCTGCTCTCAATCCAACTGAGATCCACATCTTGCTGACAGCAGTGTTGCTAACCAACCGACTGCACACCAGGTATGATTTTGATACTCTGTTTATGGTTCTACGGTGGCTTGATAGGTTCAAAGGGAGGTATCCTCTGCATTTGGGTCGGTTTGTATTCATACATAAAGAGAACTGCGACAGTCCGTTTAGGAGTGAAACCAACTCAAAAAGCGGGTTTTAGTTCTGTACAAGAGTCTTTATTCACACCTGAAAAAGAGGTCCAGGTCAATGGGAGGGGGGGGGGCTTTGGTTGGTTTAAAGCGGGCCACATTATAAGGTGTGAATACACCATATCTAAATGAAGTAATCTAGATGTAGACCCTTTCAAAACCTTTATTTTGTGTTTTTGTTTCAAACAGCTTAATAGAGACCTGCACGGTTTTATTTATCATGTCTGATTGCAGATGTGATGTCCTGACGTAATGAGTAATTTCGTTGACTACTTTTTCCATCTCTTTTACACAGGCACCAGGCTGGTTTGGATATTTTTCATGTCAAAATTAACGAAATCATTTAAAAGCAGATATTTTTCCCCCCCTTAGGTTATCTTATAGGACAAAAAAAGTGAAGAGCAAGAAATCTGCATGTGTTCTCCTTACCTGAGCTGTCCGAGGTTGTAGTGCCTCGTCTCTCCATCCGTGGAGCGCGTGACGCACACGGAGAAGCATGGCTGGAGCTGCCGGAGCTCCAGAAGGACGACCGCCAGATAGTGGATGAAGAGCAGCGCGTCCACCAGGGACACCGCGTATTGTACAATGCCCTGGTAGTTATCGTCCTACATGAAGAAAGACGGATCGTTTTACCCCTTAAGCTTTTAAACATTTAGTCCTAACTAATTTATTACTTTCATAAACCCAGAGGGAATAATCTGGAGGTTTATATACATGCAAGGCTAGATGTAGTACATTCAAACATTAGAGACGATTTCAAAGGACTAGAAGCCTTTTAGACTGTCTTTTTTTTCCTCAAGCTATCAGAAACATGAAAAAACTGGGATTTTAAAACAGGATTCAAACAGTAAACACATCCCTGTAGGAGCCAGAAATCTGTGCGTTTAAAAAAATGTATTTCCATGACAAATAACTTTAATATTGCGGAATCTTTCACATACTTGTGAGTCGAGTATCCGGACACTGTAAAAGAGCCAGTAGGAGACGACGAAGAGGAATACCAGCACAGCAAGTAGGATCCGGAAAACAAAGACGCGCGGGAGGCCCGCCCGCGCCGGTCTGAAGAAGAGCGCCCAAACGGCGAGCAGCAGGATGAGCAGCTTGAAGGCCACGGAGATGAAGAGGCCCTCGCAGGCCGTCCCGCAGCTCTTCAGCTTCTCTGGCCAAAGGATGTGAGGCAACACAAGGAAGGCCAGCGGCGTGAAGAACACCAACAGGCCTAGGATCACAGCGATGGTCCGGGTGACGTAGCGGCGGCAGTCGAGACCAACGCTGTCCTCGAGGTCTTTGGTGATGCGGACGATGTCCTCCTGGGAGAGGCTGTGCTCTGAGGTGCCTGTGATGGCGGTGGTCGTCTCTCCCCAGTTGTCATCCTGAAAATATAAACAAACCAGAAACTGAAGTAAAATATGGATTTACTTTAACTGAAGGGAAAGAGTTAAACTGGTTTTTAGACCTTTCAGGTAATTTTCATTTTTAAGGATGTATTTAGAAAAAGATTGTTGACTGAGAAGACACCAATCTTAGATTTTAAAGAGAAAAGAAACTCAAGGTGTTCATTTATTTATCAGCGAATTGTTTTAAATCAACCCAGGAGGCGCAGAGATTCAGGAAGATATAATGAAGTCAAATCCGTTTTCAATGCATATCAAGATATGTCTGTCTTTAGAAATGGATGAAAAACAGAGATTAAGATTAATGCAGATAAAAATAAAAACAATACCAGATTTATTCCTACCAAATCCAATGAATAGATTTTGTTCTCCTTCAAGTCTCATAATAAAAATTATATACATTACCCTTTTAAAACTAGCCTTTATTTCAATCATCCCCTTTGGGAGGTGACCTTAATTGAAAAGGCAGCATAATCCAAACTGAAAGTAAAACAATGTTTCACAACAAAAAATGAAAAAGTATAGCAAGGTAAATGTTTGCAGCTAGTGGTGTTACACACTTAGCTAGTTTATCAGTTATAAGGACACATCTCACAACATAAAGTGATGAATTGAGGTCACTATGAGCTATGGAAGCCCAAGAGGAAATTAGTGGGGGGAAAAAATCTAATTAATCGATTCAGCCATAAGCTAAATTTATTCTATAAAGGTTTTGTGCTGTGAAGAAAACTGGATTTAGAAATCTTAGTTTTCTCTTGATAATATAAGAGTAAAGGCAATAATCTACCTGCTGTAGAATATAAACAAACAAACTGCCGTTTTTGTAATTTAAGCTAGAATATATGTAAGCTAATGCTAAAGAGCTGAGATGGGAAATCTATAATCTAAACCACATGTTATCCAAGGAATTAACTTTAAAAGAGTAAATAGGTCTGAAATTGAACTAATGCTGCTAATTAAATCCAATGTATAAACTGGTTATCAGCTAAAATTACCATCCCAAAAAAAAGCAGGAATTACGGAGCTTTCCATTACACTGTGTTAATACTACGCTAGAATTCAAAAACAGGTTGGCAGAAAACAAGTTAATTTTGGGATCGGCAATTTCAGCAAATTCAACCCAAGACCGGGCCAGGTAATGTTTAAACCCGGCAGCTACAACCTAGAATCTAAAACCCTCCGTCTTTATCTTTAATATTTAACTTTATGACAGAAAATATGACAGATTCAAAACGCTATGGGTTATTTTGATGCATTAAAAGAATAACTCCTATTTTCTCTAGAGAGAATATAAAAGACTGACTAGGATTGCAGAGATGTGTCAGAATAAATCACAAGTCTTCTGGAACAATATATTTTGGACAGATGGGATCAAATTAAACCAAACATCATTCAGCAATGTGATGCCATCTGTCCCGCAGCTTTGCCTAAATGGAGGCGGTAACCCGCCACAGCAGCAAATCTACAAGAAAATGGTTAAAAATGGGTCAAGGAGCCAGTCAGAACTTAGGTGTAAAACTGAAACCTAATTAGTGGGACAAAACATTCAGAAAGTCATTATGAATCAATATGAAGGACAGATTAATTCATAATAAAAAATAACCCCTAAGAGATATTGCTGCCAAAATTGTTTTCCTTTATTCCTGAATCAATTAATGAGTTTCAGAATATGACTAAAATGTTTAAAAGATATTTACCCCAAAGCCTGAAGCCAAGATGCTTTAAAGTGACTTTTTTTGTCAGGTTTATTTAACCTTCATTGCTTTTTACTGAGACCTTCTGGAAAAAAACATGATGTTCGACAGCTTCCAAGTTTATCAGAAAGAGGGAAACAGGGAGAGGGGAAGTGGAAAAAGTAAACTAAAGTGAGCTGCCAAGTATGCTATTCAGTGACGTCTGGGTCTGACTGACGGACGATGAGCGTCAGCAGAGCGGTTAAAAACACAGAGATAAGGACTCTTTACATAGCAATCATAACAGTGATTATGTGGCTCAGCTAAAACCGAACAATAAAGCAAAAGAAAAAAAAAAACAGAAAGTCGAATCTGAAAAGGAAGATGCAGAATATAACAACATTAAAGAAGCAAAGAAGTCACTCTTAAACTCAACTTTAACCTCTCCTTAATCCTCTTTAAAAGATTCAAACTGTGGTACATGTTCTGTACCTATTTAAAGTAATTTAAAGGACAGGCAGAGAAACAGATGTTTGCTTTCAATTACAGAGCAGTTTTCAAAAGATCTAAGGTGTTTAATATTTCATTGAAGTAAAGTAGAGCTCTGCAACAACACAGTGCAGTTAGTTCACCAGAAAACAGTTTCTGGGAGCAAACAGAGAACCAAACATGGAGGTAGTGGACTGAGTGAAGCTACACAATCTACATTATCACCATTTAATAAGTATAACCTTGCAGGTAAGAACACAAATCAAATACATTAGAGACTTGGTTTGACATAAATGAAAGCACAGAATCAATAGGTTGTAAACTATGTACGTAGTGTGATTAAATCCTGGAACATAACAAAAAACAGTTGTTTTTTGTTAGCATATTATCACTGAATCCCAAAGTTCTGACCCTACTTGTGTCTAGGGGTGAGGATTGGCTTGGGTGTTGTGATACGATATGTGTGAGACGATATGTTAAAACTTGGTCAACTCCAGTCGGAAATGGATTGCATCTTGCACTGCCTACACTACTCTTAAAACAATTCAGATTGTTTTCATGTGTTGTTCCAAGATGGTGGAATGATCGACCAAGCAATACAAGGACAGCAGTGTCCCTGTCGATCTTCAGGAAAAAGTCCCACCACTTCAAAGAGCATCTCCTATCCTTACCTCTTACCCATACATTTTCCTCTAGAGAAGTTCTTGTCCTATTATTATAACTGTAACATTAGCCGTTTCTCAATATGTGTATTGTGCGTTCTCATGTGCTCGTGAAATGTCATCATCCTCAGCCCTAGTACTGTTCCAATTCACAAGAACAGAAGACCGAGAACAGACAAACTCCCCGGATGTTGTTTCTCGCCCCTCCCTATTTACCGAGTAAGCATGAGAGCAGACTTGTCCGTAGCTTTCAATGGAGGGTTCAAAGAGCTCAGAGTATTAACTTAAAAGGTCTCTTTTCTGTTGCTGTTATTTAATAAAAGCACATTTTAGGACCATTTGAGGCGAGAATATTATACTTTAAAGCTTCACTATATGGTCCATTTACCGATTTAATGCATAATTTAAAAAAATAATTCCAAAGCTGAGAGGACCGCGGCAACCAGCAGACCTCTAAAGCTAACGGCAGCCAGGGCTAACGGCAGCTCGTCTGCAGCAGCCCTCTCTCGGCATAGTCGTGTGTGAAGGACCGCTGGCTCTGATGGCGATTTTTTTAGTTTTATTTGGCAAAACGTTCATTTGATTTGTGTTTATCTGACTGTGGTAATTATTATTCCCCCACTTGAAGAAAGTAATAATTTATTATTATCTAGAGACTAATAACAGTAGGTGAAATGCAGCTCTAGATTAGCCGGGCATGTCATGACATCACGCGTACGCTTCTGTTCTAATTGACCCATATTTATGCTGCGTGCTCCCCAAGTCCAGACTTTCCTGTGTTCTTCTCAAGAACATACTTGACGAGGACACGAGTCCGTACGGCCATTATTATATTATCTACTTTGTAAGTCGCTTTGTAGGCATCTGCTAAATGCCTTCACATGAACATAGCGATAATTGGGTCACGATACGATATTACCATGATATTGCAATATCACTATATATTGCAATATTTTTCCCCGCTATTAAAATGAAATGCATAGATAAACAAAAAAACAAAAACAACAAGTGCTGTATATGTTCATCAGATGATATTGACCATTTAGTTATTTTGGGTTTAAGTCAATCCACGTCTTCCCCTGTGCCTCAAATAAAGATATGGCATGGCGCCGCAAAGCAAAGGGATGCCATGGCGCCATCTACCAGATTACCAGAGTAAAATCGATATCGATAAAGAAAATCACTTAAATGTAGGCAAAACCAACTAATTTGGTTGTTGAATATGGTTATGGTAAATTTATATGATGAATAGATTCGTATAAAAAGCTTTACTGCGATCGAGTAGTGCTTATTTATTTTTTCCTGGTCTTATTTGTCTCAGACATGTCAGTTTACAGGATTAAATCTTTCCTGTCTTTAGAACTGAAGTTAAAAAAGACAGAAGAGACAATATAAACTAAAAACTGCTTATTTTTAGAATAAATGCGTAAGAAATAAGAAGCAAAGATAAGAATGGCGTTCCATATATAGCATTCAGAGCTGTTGACACGTCGGCTCTTCACTGGTCGGTGTGGTTTTCAGCGAGGTCTCTCTGATGAGGTCCACCTCAGATTCGTGTGACCTTTGACCCTGAGGTTGTAAATCTCATATCCTCTGTCCACATCTCTCCAGGGAGAGACGTGTTCAAGCCGACCCGAGCTCAGGAGGACCCAACCGGCCTCTGGAATGCAGGAGCGGAGTTCAAAGTGTCAGAGTTCAAAAGGAGCCACATTCCTGGGGGGTGGTGGGGTCTGAACCACATTAAAAACCTGAACATACAGGCAGTTTATAGGAAATCTAACACAAAAGAAAGGGGAATGCAGCTTAAATACATAGAGGAGCTCATTGAGTTATCTCTCATTGAAATGTAGAGGGTCTGTTTGGAGAGGAAGCAAAGCCTCCTTGTTAATAATGAGAGAAGAGGTTTGGAGAGCCCTCAGCCACTGAGATGAGAGCAGCAGGTTGTTGATCATCTGAAGACAACTAGAAGAGGCCAAATGTTTTTGTTTTAACCTCATTTTAGCACAAATATGGAGTTTCTACCCCTGTAGTCTTAAAATATATATAACCAGAAACCTTAAATTGATTTTAAGGGAATTTATGGAGCATTAAAATAAGAAGCAGGGCTGCTCAGTGTCGCAGTGGGTAGCACTGCTGCCTTGCAGCAAGAAGGTTC